CCCCATCACTTGCCTTTGGTTATCGTATGATTCTGTGCTGTGAAATGTTAGACAGTATCAGGACCATACACTATGTGTTTGCTAATGGTATTTCTGGAGTCTTGACTGTAGCTGCACTCAGCACTGCTGTACACACTCTCACTGTTAACTACAGTGATGCAGTACTACTTGCACATGGTGTGTTGCGGCTTTGTGTTTCTATTAACATGAAAAATCTGTAATCACAGTATTTTCTTTGTTACAGAACCTACAAAAAGTTATTTTGATGATCGAACCAAGTGAATCTACCAAAACATTAGTGCCATGTAAACCTGCACACCCAAGGTTGTCTAGCTCAGGGCCAGTCTGCAGGATCTGTCATGAAGGTGCCCAGTTTGGCTATTATCCCTTATTTTCATGCACACTCAGCTTTTTTTATTAGTGTGCGGGTCATTAATTTTGTGGCTTATCTTAGAATGTTTCCCCTTTCAAGCTTGAAATTCAAGGAATTACTATTAAGAACAAGGCTGAATCCTAAATAAATGTGGGTTTTACAATTATGAATGCAACTGCAATAAATGCATTTGAATCTTCAGCTATATGTAACTGTGGTAGGAGTATAGAATGTAATACTATTCTGTATATGATCATGCAGCACATGAAATAAATTTAACACAATTTTGTCATATGTCTGTATAGATTTTTACTTGGTCACTAGATCAATTGTTGATGTTTATTCATTAATGGTATTTGAATTTTTCGCAAAGGTGGAGATGTGGATTGTCGTACATTTTTGTCAACAGATGACAGCAGTGAAAATCTCATATCTCCTTGTGAATGTACGGGAACATTGGGCCTTGTCCACAGAAACTGCTTAGAGAAATGGCTTTCTGCTTCAAACACAACTGAATGTGAAATCTGCAAGTACCAATTTAATACAAGTCGTTACCCCAGGCCTATGTGGCAGTGGTTTAAGAGCCATCGAGGATTAGACTGCCATCAGGGTCTCTATGGGGACGTGCTGTGCCTCCTGATCCTAACACCTCCATGCTTAATATCCATATATCTGTGTGGCATGGGATCTGCTATGTACATGAAACATGGGCTGTGGGAAGCACTGGGACTCGCCATGCTTTGTTGCTTCCTACTTGCCACATTTGTGTTGTGGGTTGGTATTACGGTGAGGTTAGTTATCACACACTTCAATATTAACTAATAAGTAGAACAGAAGTGGCAGAACTGTGATCTCCCAGAATGATCTTAGGATACACAATGACAAATCATAAATATAATGAGGCTATTAGAGAAGAACTGGAATTAACAGATATTGGTATAAGAAGAAAATAACCAAACATCATGGTTGAGTGTTAGCACTTCTGCTTTGTATTCGGAGGTCCCAAGTTCGAGTCTCAGCACAGAGATTAGCTATCCTGACTAAGGTGTTCATGGTTTTCCTCAGTTCCTCTAGGTCAAGCATGTCAAACTCAAAGGCTAACACGGGCCACATAAACAAGCTTCAAGTTTATGTGGGCCGCAAAAAAAACACACACACACACGGTGAATGTCAATAATTCTGGATCTGACAGGAGACTTATTTCCTTTCATAATTGTAAATAACTGCTTACACCGATAAGTACTTCCAAACATGGAAATAATTTCATATGCAAATTTTCGAGTATTTTCAAACCTGGCAGGTAAATATTTGTAAAATCCAGGCACGCCAACTTCACTGAATTTTGCCTTCAAATTAAGTTACGAAATTTTAATTAAAACGTTTCTTACATATCGTTATATTGGCTGGGCCGCAAAAATATTCGTTTTGGGCCGCGAGTTTGACATGCTTGCTCTAGGTGAATACTGGGAGAGTGCCTTAAATTAGGCCATGACCACTTCCTTCCACATCCTTGCCAGTGTATTATTCACTATCAAGCTCTGATTCGACACTATATAGCCTGAGTTACTGAAAAAGTGTCATTAAATAAACTATAAGTAAGTAACAAGAAAATACTATAAAAATGGATAAAACATTTGGAAGCAATGTCTGAGAAATGAATGACAAAGTTGCTCTTCCAATATAAACCAGAGGGTTGAAAAGATGGCGGAAATGTCTGACAAAAAGAATGGTTTTAATATTTGTAACTGGAACAGGCCAAGTGTGTAACCTGTGTTGTATAGAAATAGGATATTTGAATACCTATACTGCAGGGTAGCAAACTAGACTTTAACCCTAAATACTACCCAAGTCCAGAGGCTTCTAACATAAAAAGAGTTCATTTTTTATCTGACTAGAATATGGCTTTGTGTTTATTTACGGAAATCTAGTGAGAAGACGTTTGCTTAGTATGTAGACTATAAGTTTAAATGTATATGCAATGGTTAAAAATGTTGGTGTGGTCCGCTTTACCTCTGTGAATGGTCACAGAATTCTGTGGGTGGGATTACCCCACCCAGTCACTTGCATGGGCAAAGCACGCATAAATAGGTTATCCAGTTGTAACCAAAATGCAAATATTTTAATCAATTTTAGTAAAATATTTGAATATAAAATTTTGTGGGAATCTGTTAAGTGGTTCTTGATTTATATGTGGGCAGACAGACTTGGTGTAGTTAATAGGTGAGCTTTTGTACTTTTAGTTGCAGTGTCTGAAAACCAAAAGCTTCAGGTCATATATGTTTAATATTGATTTTTGTTTTTTTATCTTAGGTTTCACTGGAATATGTTGAGGAACTGGCAAAGAATGAACCAGATAATACGGCTCAAAGACTTGCAACACTGTCATCACACAAACAGTAGGTTGGAGAGGTCTGAAGTGAATAACAATGGTCATCTTGAACAGAGGAATACAAGTGTTTGAAATGAATGCTTTTGTCTAGTATCTTTTGAATTAGTAAATACATTTAAAAAGTAAGTCATCTTATTTATCTGTGACTGAAATTATAATAAAATAAATGCCACTGCTAATTTTCAGGTATAATAATACAGATACTGGGAGGTAATTTAAGCTCAGTATTTTACATGAAATGTTTTAGTATTTCAAATGTGTTCCATAATAACATGAAAATCATTCCTTTCTTCTACACTGTAGCTTGCTCTGAATGAAAATCTAATGTCCTATTTTCTATAGTTATCTTCCAGTTGTGTTAATTTAAATTATGTAACATTCTTCATGCATATCAAATTCATGTGATACCAAAGTGCCATAATGATTGATTCTTCTGCCATTCTGAGGCAGATTACTACTAAATGTGTTTGTAAATGTTTAAGTATTATAGTTTTATATCTAAATAACTGTGCTTTTTTAAAGTTATGTAATTGTTATGATGTGATTGATATACTACGGTGCTCTCTATTTTCGGATGGGACGAAGGCAATCGGCATGTGTTACTGGTACTAAGTATGCTCACTGTTCATGCTCCTAATGATGTGGATGGTTGAATATGTTCATATTATTTATTTATAACACCAAAATCCATTTTCTAAGCTGTCTTGAAATAGAAACGAATGTGGCACTGAAATGCAATAAGCACTATCTTTTACAATGAAGTAATATTTTGTAGTTATATTTCATTATTGTGCCAAGAGTTATCAAGTGCATAATACTGGTAAGTGGTTTTTTGATACTACTCTTCAATATGAAGGTGATTTTTACAACTGTAAAATTGTGGATTGTGGTTGTTTGGTTTGTGACACCAGCATTTCAAAAGAATGTGTATCTCCTTCCATCAGGGCCTTCCACTCTGACATTGAAGGTGATATGTTTCTTCAAAATGTTGGTAGTCGCAGATCTACGTGTTTTTTGCCTAGAAGACCACAATCTGTAACCACTGTTCTATTCTGTACATTTTGATCCACTATCTAGTCATCAACCACAAGTGCCTCAAGAAGTATAAATGTGTGTATTTTAAATTGTGTAAAGTGTTTGTGTGCTTTTTAACAGGAATGTTGAAATATGGTTTATGTCAGGTGAAATACAGGAAGCATCCAGCAGCATAATAGTTATTTTGTAAAAATATTAATACTTCTGTTACAATGTACTTATTACTCATACATTGCACATGATAGCACAATCTTTCTTGATCTTTTTGCCTATACCTTATTTCTGGGAGGTCACTTACAGAGACCAAAGCATAAACGTATTATAAATGTAAAATTCATGTAACACTTTGTCGACTGCATATAAAATACTATTCTAAAATTTACTTTCAGTTGCTTCCTGTGTTCCGTCTGATTTAAAATTGGTTTGTGCCACAATTTTTTTTACCAAAGGTTCAGTCATAAGTTGTGATCTAAGATAAAAAGTGTGCTATGTTTGTAATTAAAAAGATGCGGGGATTTTTTAAAAATTGCTTTTAAAGTATTGTGTAAACCGAGATAAATATTATGTTTTTAATGTTTTGTAATGCATTCCCTTTTCCTTAGATGTTTTAAAGTATTTTATAAACTGAAATAAATTTTAAGTTTTTAAAGTTTTATAATGCATTTCTGTTTCCTCATATTTGCAATTCAGGCTCAAATAATGCATCATGGGATCCCTGGTAACGTCATCAACATTTTAAGTCATACCCCATATCTTCTTCTATGGCTCTCTGGTCCGTATTTGGTCCATGGCCTCCTAAATTTTCCTCTTCCATTCGGTCCTCTTTTAGGTCCGTCTGTCCGAGGCTTTGATTGAGGTTTCAAAACATCTTCCTTTTTACGGTGCAAGGTTGTTAGCCTTGCGACCAACCCCCAACCTGGAGGACCAGGGTACCCGTCTTAGTCTGACCTCTCCCCTCGACCAATCTGGCTAGGGTGGCCCTACCAGTAACTATGCTACCGCCAGCATAGCTCTTGCATACCCCATATAAAGTGCTTTAAATAGTAAAATCCTAGTTACTACAAACTGATGTGAATGAATAGAATGATTCATCACTGAATCTACAATCCAACATGACCATATACATTGCCCACCAGATTCTGAGAACATCAGTAACTAATAATGTTTGATGTAAGACCCTAAACACGTCTGCCATTATAGAGGCTAAGAATTTCTGCCACATGAAAGCTGTCTTAAACATTCCTTGACCACATAAGAACCACAGAACAAAACAATAATAGGCTTGGGTTTTTTTCCTCCCTCCCTCCCCTGTAAGGACATAGCTTGACATTGAGCTCTGTTATTTTAGACTTAATCGGAAAGTTTCTTCTGTAAAATTATCGACTGCAGTATTCCTTGCACCCAACATCTAAACGTCTACCATACTCCACGGCGCAACAACCGAGAAGACAGAAATCTTCATACTCACCGCTGTGAAAACCTCAAATCTTACTCTGTAGGACATCCTGACAGTTTAAAGGATGGGCGGGCACAACAGCACTAACTAGTGGCATGTTGGGCAACATGTTTACTTTTGAGGGTATCGTAGAGATTGCGCTGCTTCATACTGCTCTGCTATCACCACAGTACGTGTTTCAGGACTAAGAACGTATTTCATACTCTGTACGAATACTGTTCAGTATTGCTAGCACGGGGTGACGCCTTACTTTTATTACTGTTTGTCCCATTTTTGTTATAATTACGACGTGGTTTTTGTCAATGTAAGGCGGCGACATTCAGACTTGAACCGGCCGTGACAGTTTCAAAATTTACTTTTGCAACTGTTCATATACAAACCAATTTATTTTATAAATGTATTTCAGATAATTTAAAATGGCGTTGTAGAATGTTTATTAAGTAAGAGGCATGGAGGTACATAGGATAATGGCAGGAAGAAAATATGTATTCAATTTTTTTCCCCAACTAAGCTGCAGTCTATGCAGACATAATTAAGTAGGTGATGTATGGTTTCCAAATGCTAACTGCGCGTTCAGATCGAAACTAATTCAGAATTTACGTCGCAGTAAGACCCACAAGGTCAGAAACATTGTTTTCTTGTACTGAGGTTTTCGGAATCGTGACTGAACCGTTTAGTGAAAGACTTAAATATTCTATTGGCTCGAATCCATAATTTGCTATGCAAAGCGACCAGATGACAGGGCACAGTTACGACTCAAAATCAATGGATATATTCTGACGTAACAGTGAGATATTTCTCCGACACATCAAATGCAGCATAGCAATAGTGCACTCCTGGTTCGTCATATTCGGGAGTTACAAGTGGACTTCAGACGGGAGAGTGTCAGACTGAGGATTTTTGTGTTCGTAGTAACCTCCATGTAAATACTAAGCAAAAAGGCTACGGCGGTAAGAGACGCGCTGGGCATCTTATTCCACCGTAGTCGATAATTGAAATAAAGAAAACAGTTAACTGCTTTAGGCTAGCAACGCCTCCTTGGCTGGCTGGAGCCGGCTAACGATGCATTTTTCTGGCCACTTCTGCTGTGTTCCAGTGGATGAGTACCACTGAATCATGAAAATAAGAAAATATTTTTATTTTTCGTTTTACAAAGTGTTAGCAGGGCTAACTCGGATAACATGAACGCTCCACCTCCAAAGTTTTCCTGAAAGACTTAATAGTTATCTTACTTTCATATCCATCTATCCTACCTCAGAAATAATTCTGAAGAAGGGAATCCGTTTGACACGACACAAGTTTTCTTTGGTCTTTATCATTACAAGAAACGGAAGGTGAATGCTGGAATAGCAGCCTACCTTTAAACACATAACGACCGTTTCCTTTCATATCCTCACCTACTTATCTTTTATGACCTCCCATCGCAGTTGACGCCAGAATCTTGTGCAGTTGAAATTAATAGAGAAAAGTATCCCTGATGCTTAACAAAGCACCATGTTAAACAGAGGTATGACGGAGTGGAGGTACAGATACACGTATTCTTTAACTCCGGCAGTAGATGGCGAGTGAGAACTTCTGATTACCCACACCCTAAACAGCGCAACTGCTGTGATCGGCTACTGTGACGTAAATACTTTATAATAGTTGAACTAGAGTTTGCTGTGATTTAAATTCACAATTTGTTTTGGAACTTTCACAGGTTCACGGCTCGATCGGCAAATGTATCAGAATTTATTCGGTACTAGTACCGTGAATGCGTAAGAAGGGAATTGTGTGTTCCACGTTATGTGGCATGTTCCATTTTCCATTGTCCTGCTGTTGTCGGACAAGCCTAGAAACCATGTCATATTTTTTAAATAGCATCTGAATGTTATTTCAGTACCTTCCTAAAACAATCAATACAATAATAAATAATACTAGCATCACAGTTTGTCCTATTTCATTGAAATTCTAGGCCATCTGTTCCAACTCCCAAAATGATAGCGTCTTTTTTACATCTAGAAGGTGGAATTATGTCTGTCCCAATTAGACGTTATAGCAGAGAACAGAAAACTTTAGACTTGGTAACTCGTTAGTTTAGTGCAACAGCGTTACAACGCTGCAAATAAGTATTTCAATGTACAATGACAAGTCCAACATTTATTACAGCCATGATTCGGACGTAACTTGAAATCACACCACAAAAAGAGTCAAACGTAAGACAGACAACATGAAACAGCAGGAGAATATCGGCCTAAATCTGTTAAATTTGGCCCTTCTATAACGGTGCAAGGATTTGGAACTATGAACTGAAATAGCTACGAAACGTTTTACGATCAAATTTTGACAGAACCTTTTTCCCTGTCACGGGAAATCATTCTTGCATGTCTTTACGGTTTTTTGTTTGAGGTATATGGCGACGACAATGGATATTAGAGGTCCCTTGTCACAACAGCATGGTGCAGAAGGCCTCCAGATATGGAGGGTAGCTGCGAATACATTGACCAGGCGGTCACGGACAGCCGACAAGCAGTGGTCCTGCAGTTTGGGATATGGCGAGAACTAACAAAATGCCTATCGTAAAGAACATCATTCTAAGAAATTTTGCATGGATGATGAGATGAACTGGGCACGTAGCGAACATAGTGGAAATGAGAATTGTGTACAAAATTTTGGCTGGGAAGTCTAAAGGGAAAAGACCTACCTACGTCCTATCTTGTCCCTTATTTCTTAATCTCTCATTCAACCTTATATAGGTCTGTGTAGCTATTAAAAACAAAATAATCAAACGACATATTACATAACTCACAACATTACTAAGTTCGAACACAGTAGTGTGCATTCAAAGGTCGAATTTGTGAAATCCAATATTCTGTAACGCCTACTTTTACTGCTGCCAATACTTCATAGTAGGCTTGTGTGTCACAAAAATACAGAATCGATAGAATTCAAATAAAACAGACAAAAAAGAAATACTGACCCATACTTCTCGGAAAACCTCCTTAAAGAAGTACAACGCCTTCCCACAAGATGGCCACATTTCATGTTGTTTTTCTAGAAACCTATAATCAGTAATAAGCAGTGTGCGCGCAAAGCTACTTTCTGTTACAACACCAGATAACTGACATCCGAGGCTGAGCAACTGTTTTTTAATATCTGTGTTACTATCAACAGCGGATAAAACTGCTCCGAATGGTAATTCTACCCTATAGATTTGTGTTTTCCAATCTTTTAATACCTTAGGCATGTCCTATAAGTTTCGAGAATGTAGGCACACCGGGGGCTGTGGAGGGTTCGCAGAACCACCTCCCCCTCCCCCCGAATATCACGATAGGTTCGGGGATAGCTTCCCGAGATAATTTTTAAGAGAAATGTGATTATTAAGCCACTTGAACATAAAAAACGCTACTTTTGAGGTGAGAATCGTTGCAGTTGAAATCAGGAGTCGTCTCCACTTTCACTTCGCCTAATCTAATCTTAATGGATACTTCTTGTTAAATACTTGTGGAGGTAGCTCTGCACATTCCTTCCATTCTGAGAACATTTACTTTAAGAATAGCTGGCGAAGGTATGGAAAGTAACTTGTACAGGAAAATTAATAAAACTTTTTTCAACAGATGCTCAAATTCTCATAAAATTCTGTTTTAAAGACTTAAAACCCGAGATATTCGTTTTTAATACGTACGAAGTGGTACTGACATGAAATATAAATAGCTGTTTCAGTCTATGAATTCTCAATTTCGAAACTAGGATAATACAGGTCTCACTTTAGGTGTCTTTCTTATGATAATTTTGAATTATGCTCTCTTCAATTGAATGAAAGTTAATAATAAAACTAGATAAAATACCGTCTATATTTATTTATTTATTTATTTATTTGTGTTTTAATGCACAAGATAATACAGAAGCTCGCATAAAAATTTTATGCCGATTTTTTTTCAGTTTTTCCTATTCAGGAAAGTAAAGGTTTTTCATATCATCGGTTTAGATGGCATATATACCACATAAGTAGATAAAGTAATTTGTTACAGAGTTGGTTAAAACTGAGACCCGAACTCAGGACACTTGTTGGGTTTGTGATCTAAGTTCCTGAAATTTCTGACCGAAACAAACAAATTTTGCTTTGGCGTCATTCTTCTGTCATGCTTAGTTTCCGAGCAAGATAAACCTTCTTCTCCGAGAGTCGAAAAAGGTTCAGTTTTTCGGGGTTTGGTCTTGTTTCTGCAACGTCCCCTTCGAAACAAACAACTCTGGTCTTGGATCCGTTCTCGCACCGTGCATATTTTCCGAGCCATGTTATTGGTTTTATCACGTGGCTTAGTCTCATATAAATATGTTATGAAAATAAATGTAACTTCTGATTCATTTGTTGCACGACAAACACAACAACCTACAAAGAAAAGTTTCTATCGAGAAATATTTTGTTGAAACCTACATCACACACACACATACACACAGCTGACAATATCCTACACTGTCGGGGAAGTAAGAATTAGGATGACCAACACGAAGTCTCTCTACAGTACCATGAAAACAAACGAGGCTCTGATGACTGATTCTTGACGTATAATTGTTATGTTTGTTGGTTTGAATTAAGTTCGCTTTATAACCTCTCGCACTATTTGTATTGTGTACTGACAGTTATAAATGCCTTGTACTTAAACCCAAGTAGACTTTAAGTAATCATTAACGACGTTCATAAAATATTAACATGTCTAAGAAAGAGTGAAGGTAATTTTGCATACACAAATTTATAATTCAAATCTTTTTTCATTTTAACGGAATATAAACTGCTCTAAATCGATAGAATTTAAAAGAAACAAGAACACAAAACAGTCTCAAGTCCTTAGACAAATGTACCAGCTATTATAGCTAGTTTTAAACAAACCGTGTTCGCATTTCCTCGAATGTAGAGCTATAACGCTTTATTTCCGATATCTAAAGAATTCTGTACAAACCACATACTGCGTCTTAATTATTGACATAACCTACAGCATATTATATGCTAAGCGCTTGTATAACGGATATCTTTCTTATTAGAGTTTCTTCAGGTAGTCAGTGTGTTACGATATCCTGAACGTGTAATTAATTATGAAGGCTTGAATTATGTTGCGTCCAGAACAAATATGTTTCAATGTTTTGGTTGTAAACGCAAATAACAGACTGAAATCGACTTCCCAAGACTGTACAGCAGGTCAGGGAATATAATACACTTCTCTTCTTGTAGGAATTTTAATTATTGTGGTCCTATTATACGTATAAATAAAAAGCAAAGCTGTCCCGCTATCCTCCATGTAGGCAATCTTAACCTCAGCACCAGAGAGTGGTCAGGGTCACGCCTCGGCCGCGCCTTACACCGGGAAAGGACCCCGGTATCCATCGGGCAGTAGGTTGTGTGTACCCCAGAGCCGGTTTGGAAGCAGAGGCTAAGGAAAAATCCTCTGCACTTGTCGTGGATCGAGCCCCGGTCGTCCGTCCAGCCCGTAGTCAATCACTATATTGACTGAGCTAACCGGGTTCCTCATATTATGCGTATTTTAACGCAAATTGTAAATTGTAAATTCCTTCGGCTATATCAGAGTTGTGGTTATAACTCTACGTATGTTACACATCAATTTCCTGTTCCGTCGTAAAGCTTGGTTGAGTGATGGCCTATTCTGCTGTTTTAATGAACTGCTCCTACTGTTCCTATAATTAATCAACCATTGTCACAATCCTTTAGAAAATCACTGGAAATCGAATGTTGTGCAATTTCTTGAAACCCTGACAGGGTGACGTGAAATTTAGAAGACACCTGCGTATCATGCAAATGGCCGGACAAGTCTTTGTGTGGATATACACACCGCAGTCCTCAGTTCCGTTGCCTGGTAACTAAAAGGGTATAAATACAAGCTGTTTAAAAACACGAAATTTTTACCACCCTACACGTGCGCATGATTACCACCTCGTTTCCCACAGCGATGCCCCTCCCGGTAAAGTTCCTGTTCTTCACCCTGACGACCGTTTGCGCTGACCAGCAGGACAACGGCCAGCGTCGAGGTGGGGTGGGGTCTGAGGTCGAGTCTACTCAAAGCAGCGTGGGCCAGTGTGTACAAGATAGACCGCGGTTTTGCTAGGTAGTCGCGGAGAGCAGGGGATCTCGAATAGGAAGGACGCATGTATTATTCAAAAGAAGCAACGTCAATTCTTCGCCTGGGCTGCCGAATCGAGTGAACGATTTCCGTGCGTGCATTCAGTTGACCAGTGGCACAGATAGGATAACATTGTATTTATTGAAAGTGGTTTCTGTGTAATGTGACGCTTACTGAACAAAATATTTGCATTTGTTAACACATACAGAAACAAAATTTCAACAGATGTGTTTGTGAGCATATGTAGAGCAGAAATATCCATAGCAGAACTTTTGGCAAATTCGATTTGAAGCAAATTATATTTAATGCAAAAATTGCAACAAATAGTATCCAATTGATTATCATGGCATGTAAGGAAAGAACAAGGTGAAACATGAATAAAAAAAGGAAATGATTTGGGACTGAAGTGTGGTATGGATTTTGATTCAATAGGAAGAAGCACTGGACAATGTAGTTACTTTACAAGATTTTAAACTCGGCAACGTCAGGAAGTTGTCCACATGTGAAATGAGATTTGGACATTCTAGAATGTTGGGACGAAAGTCTTAGAATCTTTAGCCAATCTCGTGAGTTTACAAGTGGTGAATCAAGTTTACCTTGGAAACCGCCATACCAACCGGGACCAGCACTGCGGAGGTTTACACTGGACTATGGGCATCTGTCTGGACACAGGTATGCAGATATTACAGATTAGATGCGTCCTTGTATGATCCTGAAGTGTGACTATTTACACAATACAAAAATGCAAAATGTTCCCAGTGTGTGTGTATACATATATTCGATGTTGTCCTGTTATTCTAGATATGTGATATATGAATTTAAGAAAACATTCAAAATCTAACTTCTCTGTCTCATTCTACCGCCGTTTCCATCCAGCTAGGCAATGCCTTTTTCACTAACCATCCTAACAATGCAATATTTATTACTACGAGTTCTCTGTTCTTTCATCCATTGGTTCTTTTCTCTTTGATTCAAACTGTCTCATCACAACTTTGTTTGGGTCAGGATAATTTCAGTGACAGGCACGTGGGAACACGGGTTCCATAAAAGGAGCGGTTATTTAGCCAAGTGAGTATCAGCTTCCAAAGGAGGCCTGTGCTCAATGAAGTTCGAAACCTATGGCATGACTTCTACACCAGAGTTAGCCAGAAAAAAAGCTCTAGATCTTACATTTATCAGAACTCAGTTTGCATGTTGAACATCTGCACCTGTCGTTCCCATATGCACAATTTCATTTGCTCGACCAAGGTTCCTTTTAAGATATACGAGGTGCGATCGGAAAGTTTCAAGACTGTGTCAATAGAGGGCGAACCGGATGTAGTACGAGCTTCTGCCGCTAGGGGGTGCGGCCTACATTCATAGTGAATCAGTGTGCCAGCCGGCATCATCGAATTAGCATTTGTTTCTTAGTTAACGGGCGTTTTGGTAGTGCATTACACCGACCCTCCTGCGATTTCGGAATGGCGGATTTTCATGAACAAATCAAATTTTGCCAAAGACTCGCCAAAACGGCTACGGAAACCTATGAAATGCTAAAGCAAACATTTGGGGAGTCCGCAAACTTTTGTGTGGCATTCACGTTTTAAAAATGACCGAACCTCTG